GTTAGTAGTAGTTTCATTCCTAGATTTAAATACCCAAAAGAAATGAAAACATATGTCTACATAAAAAACTTGTATACAAATGTTTATAGCAGATTATTCACAATAATCCAAAATGGAAATAACCCAAATTTCCATTAACAGATAACAGATATCCATGGATAAATAAATTGTGGTATATCCATACAATGACATATTTTTCTGGAATAAAAAGGAATGAAGTACTGACATATGCTACAAGATGTGTGAACCTTGAAAACATTATGCTAAGTGAAAAAGCCAGTTATGAAAGGCCATATATACAATATGATTCCATTTACATAAAATGTCCAGAATAGGCAAATCCATAGAGACAGAAAGTAGATTAGTGGTTGCCAGGGGCTGAGAGAAAGGAGAAACTGGACTGCTAATCAGTATGGAGTGTCTATTTGGAGTGACAGTAATGTTCTAGAACTAGATGGTCATGATGGTTGCACAATTATGTGAATATACTAAAAAACACTAAATTATACACTTTAATGGGGGAGTTTTATGGCATGTGAATTATATCTCAATAAAGCTGTTATTTAAAAAAAAGTTATGACCAGCATGTTTAACTAGGTGGTGGGAATATAAAAATCTTTCTAGAAGTGTGATAAAGTGTGTTAGTCATTGCCAATATTCTAGTTGTCCTCACTGCAGTGACCTTCTCTGCGGGAATATTGCACATCTCCACTGTTTTGAATTTAGGAGGGGTAATATGACTTGCTTTGATCAAGGAAATTTGGGAAGAAGTGACCCCTTTTAAGAGATTTTTAGGCCAGATACATGGCTCACGATCTTTCCCTTTTCCCTTTGCCATGATAAACAACATGGAAAGTGTTGTCAGTGCCTCCTCACAATTTTATACATTCTCCCAGCACTTATTTTTTCTGCACTTGTTGAAAAATTTCCAATTGCTGACACTTGCAAATCCATCCTAAAAGTTTGGAAGCTGCTATGTGGATACATTGAGCAGAACAGAAGTATCAGGGAATTAACACCCCCAATCACTCCTGTTCCTATGTCCCTCAGAGGGATAACTCTGTGGCCTATTTTCCAACCTGACTCACAGGGTTCTCCAGTGGGATTGAGTCCCTGTTACCCTCGGTGGTGGCTTGCATGACAATGAATCTTCCTGGGCTTTCTTGCTTTTCTTGTCTCATTTCTCTTACTGCCCTATCAGTGTCTCTGGGATCACCTCCAATGTATCTAAAGGTCTGCTTCTTTGGAAACTCAAACTAAGACATCCAGCAATGTTTCCAACAGAGGATTCTTGGTCAGCCTGGGTGCCAAGGTACAGAAGATGTAGAGCACAGCTGACTGCAATCCATGTAGAACAAGTACCAAAGGTGAAAAATAAGCCTTTGCTTTTTAAGCCTCTGTAATTTAGATGTCATTGTTACTTCAGTGTCATGACTAGTGAATAACGTTTATCTCTTGTCAGTAATTCTCATCCTAGGAATTTTTCCAAAAGAATTAGAGATGTACACAAAAGTCTTTATACAAGAATGCTCATTGTGGTGTTATTTATAATTAAATAATTGGATATAATAATAATAATATATAACAATAGGGGGAATTAAAAATATATAAATGCTTTTCAGCTATATAAAATTCCCTCAGAGAATATTTAATAATTTAGAAGATGTTCATGCTGTATTCAAATAAAAAGAGCTTATATAATATCATTCTAATTTCATTTTTAAAAATACATCTATAGTTGTGTATACATGTGCAAAAAGTAGGTCTCTCTTCTCAGTCTGGTGGTAAGGATTTTACTTGGACAGGAAAAGAATATAGCACTTCCTCATACTGCCTCCCTTCTATTGAAGAGGTTGTAGGAAATAAATTTTCTAAAAAGTTAGAAAGAAACTATAGTTGAATTTCTAGGTCAAATGACTGTATAAGTTCATGTTTCAATAAGCCCCTTTATTCCCACCAAATAGTAATATTGGCTAATGTATAAAAAATAAATGAAAATATATATTTAGGATCCATTGTGAAAGATAGTATCTCCATGAAGCTGAAATGTACAGAAATGAAAACAGTTATTACTGGCTTGTTGAGATTTGGATGTAGAAGCAGGCAGTAGCAGTTTACAGTTGTCCTTGTGGGATAAGGGAGACTAAAAGTGCTCTATAGGAAATGGGGATCAGAGACAGCTTCTGCTTAGACCAAGGACCTTGATGGAGGGTGTCTCCTGTCATGAAAGAAGCCTTAAGAAAGGGTTGCTGCATAACTTTCAGGAGATAGATCCTATGCATTAAAGGTGAGGAATATATATTCAGAAAACAGAAGCAATGTCAAGCCATCCTGCTAACTTTTTTGTCATTAGATCTGCAATATACTCTATATTCCCCAGGTCCTATACTGAAGATGTAGGTAGAAGTAACTGCAAAAACCATCATATAGGGTGATGTGAACACAGTGGGAGTTTGGGTATGGGGTGGAGAGAGAGAATACCAGAAAACTTCCTTCTCAAAATGATCCTACAAATTAAAATTTCAAAACATGAAGAAATCAAATGCTAAAAATGATACTAAACAAAATCAACAATTGGAACTTGAATTCCCTCCAGATGAAACTTATTTTATGGAATAAAGATTTTAAAATAAGCATATTGAGGATGTTCAAAGAAATAAATGAAGACATTAAAACTGAACAAGAAATTATGAAACAGAATAGGCAGAAATAAAACAAGAACAGGTGGATATGAACAAAATTAGAAATCTTGGAAATGAAAAACATATAGTCATTGAAATATTGAAAAAGAAAAAATCTAGACTAGACATGGTCAAAAAATGAATTTATGAATGCAAGTTACTTGTGAGAAATCAGATTCAGTGCAGTGAGACAAAATGATAAAAATTATGAAAAATCAGTTAAAAACTATGGAGGGCCACTGATAGAATCCATATTTGTCTAATAGGAATTCTTGAAGAAGAGAATCAAAGTAATGGGGATAAAAGCAATATTTGAACAGATAATTTGCTACTAATTTCCTAGAATTAAAGAAATATATAGATTTTTATGTGGAAAGTATACTCAGAGTACCAAGCAGGATGAATAAAAATAAATTCACACCTAGACACAGCAAAGTGAAAAGGTAAAACATTAAGATTAAAAAAATTGAAATCTACACAATAAAAAATAAGTTCCTCAAAATGACTATATAATGGCATACTTCTCATCAGTAACTATGGATGCCAGAAAATAATGAAAAAAATCCACAAAGTGTAATGAGGAATGTCCTCCTCAAACTAGAATTTATACCCAGCCAAATTATCATTCCAGAAAGAAGTCAAAACAAAGACATATACCAATTAAGATGGTTATCCATGGACTCTCACTAAAATATCTATTGAAGGATATACTTTAGTAAGGTAACATAGAAAAGACTTGAGATACAATAAAGAAGAGAACATAAAATATATAAGCTGTATACAAGGACAAGGAGATTTGAGACCAGGTCTTATGAGGAAAGGACAAAGGAACTGGGAATATTTAGCCTGGAGAGAAGACACAGACCTTTTGCAGATCTCCAAACTATTGTTATGGGGTGAGGCATTTAGAAATAGTGATGATGTCATCAAGAAGCAGATTTTTAACCCTGCTCAAAATAGAGCTGTCTAATCAATAAGAAGTGGTGAGTTCCCTATCAAGAAAAGGGATGAAATGGGAGTGAGCAACTCTAGTTATATCAGTCCATGATTTGGAATTTCCATATACGTTAATCATATGTAAATATCAAACCTAGCTCATTCTATGAGATAGATTAAACATTTTTCAAACTAATTCCATCTTTGTTCTTCTAAATTCTCAAGTTCAAAGAGCTCTATGAGATAGAAATACAGTAAGGTTACCTGAACTGGGTGGATCCACCTTACTACATTTGCAGTCACCATTCTATACCCCAGTTATATAGACCAGGTAATCAGCCTTTGTGCTAGGACAGTGCCTGCAGAGGGCAATATCTCAATCTCTTTGAAAGTGAGCCAAGTGGTCCCTGGATACAGTGTGGTTTGGTGGAAGGCAGGGCTGACATAGTTCAGCCATATTGGTTACTCACATATTGAAATATCTCCATATTTATTGGTAATTAGTCATTCCCTGAGTGCCCTAACTCTGCCATATGACCACTCAGCCACAGTATTCCCTCCTCCAGGACCTCAACTCCACACAGTCCAGTGATCAAAGTGTTAATGTCTAGAACAGCAGGCAGTCACCAAGGCTGGTAAAATATTTTGAATATTACCCATGAATGAAAATAAGTACCACATTCACTTTCAAATGCTCACTAACCCTGCTGGTATCATCATCCCCTTGGTTCTAAGACAGAATGGTATCTCTTGTCCAATTTTGCCTTAAGTTCCCAAACCAAAGTAAAATAACTCTCTGACAAAACCATACTGCTCGGTTTCTCACTGGGCTAGATGTCAGGCCTGGGGGAAAGAAAAGACCTTTTAATCCCATGGTCACAGCTTTGTTTGAGGGACTTGACCTTCCCCTAAAGGTGAGAGACAAAAGTCATCTTGACCCTCAGCACAGCCAACCAAACCTGGTCACTTTCCTAGACTGACTCTTCCTCATAAGCCATCCCTTCATTCCCTGGTACCTTCCAGGTAGCTTCCCCATTCCCCATGGTTTAAAAACTTATTTCTCAGGAGTTTATGACACTTCCTTGACACTTGAGTCCAATGAGTGAACTTGGCCCTAGAGTATGGACCGACATCCAGATTATCAGCCCTGCCCTTGGCAGAGTCAAGAGTAGGCTGCACAGAGTTGGGAAGGAGCAAAGAATCTGTCTGTGGGGCAGAGGGTAGAGGGGAAGAAGGGTCATTCATGGCTCATGGAGCAAGAGTTCTGCTCTTCATTCAGGGAGTCAAAAGAGGAGCGCAGGAATTGCATTTGGAAAGGCAACAAGGCATCATTCAGGAAAATAAGGAAAAGCCAAAGCTGAATGGCCAGCCGCACCTACTCACCAGGACTGGTTATTGTCAGGAGGTCAAGCTGCCGCTGTTGCTGTAAAAGAAAACACATTGTGAGAACATTGATTTGAGCCAGAGCCAAACTTGTGCTTAGCAGGTCAGGGTGGACATGCAAACCGGATGTTCGGATTCACTGCAGGGTAAATTACATGGAATGTGGTGCTCACTCGTAATTCTGCAGAGAGGCCTTGTACCCTAGAGACAAAGGGAACTGGAAGGGCTTTTTGTTTGTCTTTGGAAGCATAGATGATTAGAGCCGAGAGGGCCTTAGAGGTCTTCCAGTCAAATTTATACCATACTTAGGGAAAATGAGACCCCAAAAGGAATGTGGCTTACTTAGGGCCACAGAGAATGTCACTTTCCAGTCTCCCAGTCACAGGCTCATTCCTCTGCACCAGAGGGCCTTAGATTTCCCTTTGCTCACACTGGTTGCTCCAGTTGAGTGTCTGATACACTGAAAACCCTCTTTGCCTTAGGTGCCTGTATTATTGTCACACTATAGACACTCCTTTCTAATCAAGATATTTCTGGGCTAGTTTAATTCTTGAACCTGCTCAGCAATGCTATAACAGTTTCAATTACTGATGATCAAATCATTCCTTCTCTAACTGAATCCTTATCCTTTTGTACTATATAACATTCATACAAAATAATATTTGTCTAGCACACAGGCTATGTGAATGAGGCTGCTTGTGTTTGGAGGTTAACTAGAATTGGCTACCCCAAAGACTGAGGTAATCAATATCTCAGAAAACCTGTTCCCTATCACAGCGCACTTACTGGGAAGCTCTGTCCTGGATTGGGTGTCATGGGAACCTGAGTGTAGAGAAGTGGGTATAGGAGGTAATAGAGGAGTGGCAGTGAGCAGCTCTCTTAAAGACTCAAGTTCAGGATTCCCTAAGTCCCAGTCTTCCTGATGACCTCTTTCTCTTTCCTACATTTGATTTTCCCTAAGTAGAACTGGAAATCTGTATTTTTGTTTTTATAAAAGCAGTTCCAACAAACTCCACTTTGAAAATCATTGCTCCAGGCCACAAATTACAGGAGCTTCTGATCACCTGGTGTTTCATACAGTTTATACTATGCCATATTTTACTTTACTACATTTTCCTCTGTCTTGCCTTTCTCCAAGAATGGCTTCCTGAAATTCTACGTAAGTAGAAAGGGAAAGGAAGAAACATTTTTTGAGTACCCATAATAGGCCAGGCACAGTACTATATACTTTGATGTATCATTTCTTTTTATACTCCTAGCAATCCTATAGGGTAAGTATTATACAGGGGAAGGACATGAAATTCATTCAGAGAGGAGAAATTGCCTGCCCAAGACGTCTTCATTAAATAGTAGGGCCAGCATTAGAATTTAGTCAGTTCTAATCCTGGCTCTAAAGTCCAAAATATGACAAGGCATATATTAATAAATCATCTAGCATGATGCCTGATAATTAATAGGTTGTCCATAAAAAGAGCTATTTAGTATTGATGTTGCTATTATCATAGAACATTTGACCACTGGTTTATATATAAGCTGCCTCTTCCCTTTTCATGAATTATTAATACCTACAGCTCAGAGGTCACTGAATTTGACCTGTCATTCAGGCAGGAACCCTCTCTGCAATGTCCCCATCAGATATATGAACTGCTTCTCTATCATCCCTTTTCTTGATAGGGAACTCACTACTTGCTATTGTTTAGACAGCTCTACTTTCAGGATGGTGAAAATCTGCTTCTTGATGATGTCATCATTGTTTCTAGCTGTCTTAGCCTATGACAATAGTTTGGAGAGCTGAAGAAGATCTGTGTCTTCTTCTCTCCAGGCTAAATATTCCAAATCCCTTTGTCCTTTCCTCATAAGACCTGGTCTCAAATGTCCTTGTCCTCAAGGTCACCTTTCTCCTACATTTAACTTTCATCTGGCCCAGTTGAAACTTCCTTAAGATGTTTCTACCTCTCGCTTCAGTGACTTCTCATGGGCCTAAAAGCAAGTCTGTACCCTTTCAGGGCCTTCTCAATCCCACATACTTGTTTTTCTGCCAGCCCATAACTCATTCCAGTTGACATTTTCGAGCAAACAATGCAACTCCAAGATGTCACTAATCTGCATAGTGAGCACATATCCTCACGATGAAATGAAACACACACTCACACATGTGGGGTAGAAGGAATGCTGGAGCCAGACCATATTCCTTCCCAAACATAGAACCAGGCCAGTGGGACAACTGGCTCAAGCTGCCTTTGCCAGACAAACCTATGTGGCTTGACACATTCCTCATATAAGAGGAAAGAATCCATTATGTCCTTTTTCATAAGCTTGGCTTTGTGATGATCACAGCTGGTGAAGGTGGTCTATTTATCTGGAAAGTGTCTATTTTCTAATTAGGAGCTATTGCTAAATGGTGATTTTTATGCCCAGGGTCCTATAGAAAAAAAGGGAAGAAAAACAGACGGGAGTGAGACAGGCCTGGGCTTGTGTTTTGTCTTCTCTGTGCTACTCTGTATAAATTACTGTATGTCTCTGGTTTCAAACTTCACAACTCTAAAATGAGCACATGAGACTGAAATACCACCAGTGACTGAGTCCAGTGCCACCAGGGACTGTGCCTGCGGGCTCCCTCTTCTGGCGTAGAGTTCCCTGAGAACCCCTGAAGCCAGGACACTGGGGGCTTGAAGGTCAGAGTCAGAATCTAAAAGGGACCACATTTTAAGCTATCCTCTCACATGACAATTTTCTGTACATGTGTGAGATTTTCTCACTGGAGGAGAAGCATCTTAAGGGTTTAGAAGAACATCTATTATTTATCTTAGTAAAATTAGTCCATAGCACAGAGTAGCCCTCAGTAAGTGTTTGCTAAACTCAACTGAACTAATCCCCAAATCCACATTATCTTTTCAAACCTTCATGTCTTTGCTTATCTATCCACTCTGTCTACCCTCTTGTAATCTTCCTGGATATCTCTCCTCACTTCTCAAGACCTCTATGGAGCCTTCTCTGAACATCAATTCTCAAAACTAACCCCTTCTCTCCCTTCCTCAGAGCAGACTATTTCACACTTTGTTCTTCCAATGCATCTTGTAAAATCTACCTTTTCTATCATGCTCTGTCCTCATCGTCTGTTTCCTTGTCTGTCTCTCTCACTAGGCTCTTACTCAATGATAGGATTATGTCATTTCATCTCTGGGCTGCCAGTGCTCAGAACAAAGGCCTGGAAGAATGTTTAATATCATCTAGTTCAAATGCTTCAACTATTCTATTATTCCCTTTGCAACAACCCTGTTAATTAGGAATTAATCAGCATGGAAATTAAGCAAGTTCCTTCTTTTCCAAGACTTTTTCTCTGCTACATCTGTGGGGTTTCTTGCCTTTATGTTTTTGCTCCCATCATATCTACAGCCAGCAATACTGTCTATTCACCTCATCTTGGGAGAGCTTCCTTCCTTTACTCCTGCCCACAGGATTGCTGTCTGTCCTGGAATCCTACATCTCCTACTGTCTGTACCATTTCTGTGATGATAAATTAAATCTAACCTAGTGACAAGCCCATTTAACCTACAGTTCATTGACATATATGTGCACCACCTAGTGGCACAAACAGATAAGTGGAGGCTATTGTTTTAACCTGTAGCTCTTAGGATTGCAAAATCTTCATGTTCTATATGCAAATGAAAACAAAAATGTATGTTCCAGAATGACGCGGCAACAATTTTTAGCTAAGAAACTGGAGTATTCAAATAATTCCCTCAAAGTCCTTCAAAAATAAAAGGAATGAAATGAAAGTGAAAATTTTTTATTACTAGTCTGCCTAGCATAATCATTTGAGATTACCAATGGATGTGGAATTTTAAAAATAGAGTTTTTAAAATTCCACAAATATGGTTTGTGAAATTTGACCAACAATGTACAATCAGTTATATACAGATGGACCATGTTGGAAATAAAGAATTACCAAATTATTATAATCAGTTACCACCTAAGAGGGACAAGAGCCTTTTATATGGAGATGATACATTAACTGCCTGGATGGTAGGATATATAATATTAGGTAGAAGAAATGAAGATAGCAAGGTAGGTGGCAGGTTTAATGGGCAGACAGGGCCTGATGGCTATTGAACCACTAGCTGACCAACAGCTACTGTCTAAGTAGTAGTGGTTGTGTGTGTGTGTGTTTAAGGTATGGGAGAGGACATTCTTCTTAGGCAAAGGAATTCCACATCTAGATGGAGGGGAATGTGTCCAAGTGTGCCTTTGTGGTATTTCATGGACTCCTGAGGAAGTGTGGGTATGCCAGTGTTAGGGTCAATCAGGAGTTGGTATGTAGACACCTGGCTATGTGTGAATCCTGCATCCAGCCTTCCCTGGTAAACATGGTGCCCTGTGGACATTCAGAAGAAACCCATCTCTGTGCATAAACACCACATGGTGAATACTGAGTATGACCCCATAAATACGATGGAAGGTGAGAGTTCTAAGGTCAAAGGAGTAATCTCTGAATTGGTCACTAAGGAATTGCCTGAGCATCCATAGTGGATGTACAAGGAATTGTCTACCAGCATCCTTGCTCCAGGAGTTATCCACTCTTCCCCCATGTATCCAGTGGATGCTGTCTTGTTAGTACAATGTCACCCCACCTCTGGTGACAGTGGACTGCCCCAACGCTGGAAGTGCTAAAAGCTGGGCTAATTAAATATCTTATCCAGGAATTTTGGACCTATTGTGGGTTTAGATAATCTCAATGAAAACTATGCTTGTCTTAAGTTAAAGAACATATCTTTAAAAATTTGTAGTTATGAAAATAACACATGCTTATTTCTGTCACTTTCAAAATTTCCAGAAAATTCAGAGTGAAAGTAAAAATTAGTGAAATCCTATCACTGAAAGAGAACCATAGTTAACATTTTGGTGTATTTTCTTATCATCTTTCTCACTATGTGTGCATATTTAATGGGATTATATTTATATATAGTAAATGAAATTACCTTTTAATCTTGTACAACATTATGTTACTATTTTTTGTCTCAGGCTGAATCTTTGTTTTGA